CACATACCCTCCCCAGTGTCTATCACCCAGCCACCCCATCCCTCCCACCCCCCACCACTCCAGCAACCCTCAGTTTGTTTCCTGAGAGTAAGAATGAGGAAGCGGATTCTAAGAGGTAGAGGTGACATGGCCAAGGCTTATGGTAAACTAAGAGATAGGGCTCAAACCCGGGACTTGGGGTTCCCAGTCAGATGTTCTAATGGCCAGGGGCCACTGCTTCTCACTGGTGCTCTCTCGGACTCTCTGGACTTGTCATTTGTCTCAGTGAAGGTGCCCTGAGACCAACCGGTCTGTTTCCTAAGGGAGGCTGCCATTCCCTAGTCTAGTTTCTGGACCTGTCATCTGAATGGCCCAACACGTTGCAGCCATTCCCATGAGCCAGTGATGTGGAGGTCAATTCCATTGCTGTTGAATATGGCTTGGATACCTGGCTACCTGGTTACGGAGAGTACCTGGGAGGAGGCCCAGGGTAGGAAGAAGCCTAACGGAGGCCAAAAAAAATCTCTTGTATACCCGAGCCTTGCTTTTTTTGTTATCTGACTGCTGGGGTTGTGACACCCGATGGCCACGTCAAGTTGTCAGGTTCATTACTACATGACCCGAGGCAGCTAGTAAGGGATGAGAATCACAGATCACAGAGTGAGCAGGAGGAGGAGCTTGACCTGGGGCTGCCTCTCCACTGGCACCCTCAGCCAGGAAAGACCGGCTCTCCCAGCAGCACCTGCCTTTGCTATGTTTTTCCTGGATTTGTGCATTGATCTTCCTTTATTTATCATTCACCCTTTGTCCTTTTTGCAGAAACAGGACATCAAATACTTGCTTTTCTCAATTTGCCCACTGTAGGCACTTGGGTGCAGAGGCAGAATTTTCACCCCGTCTTCCTGATTTTTGTCTGTATGTGTGAATATCTGCTTGCAATGCCTCTCTTGTTATCTTGTTGGAATGAATTGTAATCCAGAATCTGGGCTCTCTCGGGGAGATGCCCCGGCCTCTGCCTCTGGGCAGGTCTATATCTGAATGGAGCCAAAGGGCTCCTGACTATCCTTGGGGGCATCGAGAGACGTGGAAGAGAAGCTGAGTGAGTGCGGCTCCAGGCGCTGGGCAGCCTGTGTTCACCTGAAGCACCTGTTTTATATATTGAGACTTTGAGTAATATTTCACTAGTTAAAAATGCTTTGCTCTTAAGAGTAAAAGGTTGAAATTACTAGTCTGTGCCACCTAGGTGGGATTCATGTTCTCCTTTGAAAGAATTGCAGAAATGAAAATTTAAGCCCATTCTGCTTGCTTTCCTAGAGTATGTGTAAGGAATGCTACTTTGGGAGAGAGACGGGTCTGAGTGACTCTGAAGACACTGGAAGTAGAATTTATTTCTTTGGAACTCAGCAGGTATCCCTAGAGTAGCTGCCCCACCAAGGGTGTTGAGTTTCCCAATTCCAGGATGGCGCCTTCTGGAGTTGAGTGATGTAATAGCTTCATGTGACCCTATGTATAACATTGCACTACACAGGGGTGCAGGGTGATGAGACAGAGAAACCTCAGATCTCTTGCCCCAGAGTGCATTGTGGTCTATTTAAGGAAAGAGCCCGCCACTGTTAAGGTTGGAAGGGAAACATCACTTAGCACTTTCTTTCCTTGCCTGTGATCAGAAGCAGTTGAGAGAGATTCAGTCTTCAGACAAATGGAGGTTAAAATTTCCCCTTCATGACCAGCAAAGCTGACCCTAGAGAATGTACTTTATGTCTCTGGGCAAGTAACTTTCTAAAAGTGCAAGTAAGTTTCTAAAAGTGAATCCTAGAATCAGACGGACTTCCCCACCCAACACAGGTGGCCCTGGAGAACCGCAGGCTTCGCCGCCTGTCACTCATTCCCCTGCCCTTTTGTCTTCTCCCCTAACACTTATAGAATGGCGAAGCAGAACAGGGTGCGGGTGTGCGGATTCATCTCTAAGAAAGCAGATGAAGAGAAGTGGTTGAGCTACACATGTCCAATTCTTAACCCCTGAATTACCAACCCAGGGAAAAGACCCAAGAGTTCCTTTGAGATCTGTTTCTCCATGCGGAAACACCAGATCAGGGAGTATGAGGTTCCCTCCCTCAATAAGCCCAACTGATCAGCTGGAGATGTGCTCTAAGGCCATGCATCCTGACTGTATGGATTTTTGGCATAAGATTCATATGTATTTCCTGAAAAGAAACTATCGGAATAGCATGTGTTTAATCAGGGAACGTTTCTAGAGGAAGCACTGGGCTCAGTTTGGTGGAGAGAAGCACACAGCTTTAAACAGATTGACCTGTAGAAATTGGGGGGGGGATTCAAGATGAGCTTAAACTGTAGTAAAATGAAAAAGGCCTCCCACCAGTAGGCTCTCGTGATCTGGGAGGTGTGGGGTAATGTCATCAATCCCAGGAGTCATAAATGGAATATCAAGATTAGATGGCACAGTCCCAACTGGGAAAGTTCACAGGCATGGGGCCCAGCTGATAGAGTGCAGTGGATGGCTGAGAGGTGGCAGCTCGGAAGGTTATGGTTCCAGGGGCTCTTGGGGTTAGACCTCATGAGTGGGGGGCCTCTCCTCTCATTCTTTACTGGTTTGATAAATTAGCAGTGTTTTCTGGTTTACGATCTGAAAAAAAATTGCTTAAGTAACTTTTTTTTTTTTTTAACAGCAGAAAGAAAATGGTTTTTTGATTTGTTTGCTTTTTGTCTCACCAGCTAGGATCTAAGGGAAGGCTGTGTGTACGTAGGCTCAATTGGTGTGACGCTTTATTTTGAGTTTTCTGTTGCTTAATTGAAAATGGTTTAAAATCCCACAGGTTCTGAGCAGGGAACTGGGAGGAGTGGTAACACAGACCTTTCAAAAACAGTAGGTGATTCAAAGGCCATATTCTTCTTGATTTTAGAATGCTATGTGTGATTTTTGTATGGTGGGTTTTTCTTTCAAAAACGTGTTTTTCTTCAAGTGACATTATACCTGTTTGTCTTCTAAGAGCACCCAGAAACAGGCAGCTGAAAATTATGGAACAGGAAAATCGGCAGAGGATTAAAGTTAACTATGGATGAATGTATAGATAATGAAAATTTAAGCAGAATATATTCCCATCTGATCTATTTGCTGCCTGCTTGACTGTATATTTTATGGTTATTTATGCTTCCATATGAATAAGTGGTATAGCCAGATATGTAAGCTGGTTATTGTTAAGTTGGATTGGTTAATCCTAAAGTCAGTCAGAGATGTCTGTCTGTCCATGTTGTAGTACAGTATGGAGTTTGCTGTGATTCCCTGCAGAGAGACCTAGAGGTACCACTTGGGGATTTATTTACATCTCCCAAGATTCAGTGAGTTGTTTGCTTGCTATCTTAAGATAAAATAATACATGTAAAATGCTGAACACAGTGCCTGGTATATAGGAGGCTTCTCTAATTCTTTTTTTTTTTTAAGATTTTTTTTATTTATTTGGCACAGAGAAAGAGAGAGAGAGTGCGCACAAACAGGGGGAGTGGCAGAGAGAGAGAGAGGGAGAAGCACTTTCCCTGATGAGCAGGGATCCTGACTCGGGGCTTGATCCCAGGGCTCTGGGATCATGACCTGAGCCGAAGGCAGATGCTTCACCGACTGAGCCACCCAGGTGCCTCAGGAAGCTTCTCTAATTCTTAACATGGAGAACTACTTACTGTATTTTAACTTGAAAATGGTTATAAAATAGCATGTAAGGGGCACCTGGGTGGCTCAGTCGGTGAAGCGTCTGTCTTCGGCTCAGGTCATGGTCCCGGGGTCCTGGGGTCAAGCCCCGCATCGGGCTCCCTGCTCGGCGGGAAGCCTGCTTCTCCCTCTCCCACTCCCCCTGCTTGTGCGCGCGCTCTCTCTCTCTCTCTCACTGTCAAATAAATAAATAAAATCTTTAAAAATAAAATAAAATAAAATAGCATGTAAAGTACTATCCCAGTTCTGCAAAATTCAGCAAAGAGTTAAGTCCTTATATCCCCGGTGCTGTTTAAGGACCTGGGATGTGAGAACTAGATAGGGAAGAACTTACCATTTCTTTGTGTCTCATTTAATTTGGCATCACAGAGTTGATTGGTGTGGCTTGTTAGGATGTCCTCTATAGGTAGAAAACACTTGTTTTCCCTAAATCTTTTTTGGAAGGCAGACACTAACTTTGTACAGATATTTAGCCATAGATACCTGAGTGGGTGCCCTCTGAAAAGTTAGATGAGTCCTGCCCACCTTCTCCTTGTGTGAATTAGAGCAGTGCTTTGGAAGAGCTTGTTTATCCCCTGTTTTCGCTCAGGAATAAGGATTGGAAGTTGAAACACAGCGGTTGAGCTTCCTAAGGCACTAATGGAAACACAGCCCGAAGCCCCCTGGAAACCTTCCTTTTTGAGGGAGGCTTTGCTGGGAGAATGATCGCGATGGTTCTCTTCCTTTTTCAGCACATTGTCGTCTGCCCCATTGCTTTGGACATTTGGGTTTTTAATCTGGGGAGAGAGACTTAGAAATAGAGCTTTTGGCCCATGGTTGATTGAGCATGTGAGTCAAATTGATGGATGCCCAAACTGGATTTTGACACTGGGGGCCTTTAGCAATGGAAATTTTGAGTTTGCAGTGGTCTGCTGGCCATGGTTGGCAATGCCCATCCTGGTCCCTAATCTCTACTTGGCTACTGCATGGTCACTAAGGTGAGTATTTAGGTTTCTGTACCTTAGTGACTTCCATGAGATCAGGAAGGATTTTTCAACCCATTTTCTAATCATTTTGCAAGGGTTAAGAGATCTACACTTACCAAATATTTGAACCGAAGAAAATCCCTGCCAAATAGTCACTGTGAAAGTTTTTTATCCCAGCAAGAAGAGGAATTCATGGTATGATATCCCAGCACCCAAAGGAATGAAACCATTTAAAAATGAATTAATATTTGTACCTGTTCATTCCCAAGTTTTTATTTCAGCACCCCTCACATGAGAATGCAAATTACTGACCAACCTTTTGATATTTCTTTCAGGGACACCTGTGTGGTTCTTTGTGAAAATTGCTCCAATTCGAAATGAACAGGATAAAGTGGTTTTATTTCTTTGCACTTTCAGTGACATAACAGCTTTCAAACAACCGATTGAGGATGATTCATGTAAAGGTTTGTAACTCTGATTTGTACTAACACATTTATGCGGTTTTCTTTATCCTGTGGTGTGACTCCCATTCCAGAGAATTTGAGGTTGCCAAGGCAATCTCTGCACAAAGATCAAGATTTAAACTTTAATTTGTGTTGGGTAAAGCATTGTATCATTCTGGAATGTATTAAGGGGGAGAAGGGGAGGGAAAAAAGCTTTATTTAGGAAAGCATTTGAATCCATTTTATACCTTTTTAGAGTAACCCTTTCCAGTAACGATTAGACTAGAAGAAGGGAGTTGGCCCCTCTGGTATCAGCGGAGTCTTTTCCAGTGTCCCCATGACGGATGTCAGTCACCCAAATGAGGCAGTCCGTGGCCACATGCATCTTATTTGTATGTAAACTTTGTTGGATTTGACTGAGTTCTTGCATTTCAAGATTGTTGAAGTAGATTTTAACACATCTCTACCTCTGTGGTTGATTAAGTCTGTGGCTGGTGAGTTTGTTGGAAACGCGGTATTAATGAGGCCAGGGTCTTAAGTAACATTTCCATATGGGTCATTTAATCAGCTCGTGACCACAGATTATGGTGCTCATTTCAGCTATATCTTGTGCATGTAGTTTTTGAATAACATTGGGGGCCAAGGAAGGAGAGGGCTCAGGATTTCTAGAACAAGAGTCCTCTTGAAGAGGTCAAGCTAATCAGATGCACAAAAGATGGCATGTTATCCCCAGAGGTTTGGGGCTCGGGGGTGTCACGCGTCCTCTTCCGTAGCATGCATGCCAGGTAACCAAGAGGCCATAGCTCTTCTTAGTTGCAGTGCTTCTTGGCTCTGTGGTTGATTTTCCATCTCTCTCTCTGAGAACTCTGCTCCTTGCCGTTTCCTGAGATGCAGCAGAGAGATGTGAGTGGAGTCCAGGGAGAAGTCAAATTGGGGAGTATAATTCTTGATGTGACAAAATTGTGATTGTTACATGTGCCTTATAGGAGGAAATATAAAGCATTATGTGGATGCTCTCCCGGGCTGTGTCCGCTAGCATATTTGGAGGCTCACATTTATAAAGTTCAGAGCACAATGCTGTGTATATACCAGTGCATCGTATTTTTTTTTAAACTATCTGATAACCCAGTAAATCAATTACAGCCTGCCTTTTGGTTTCAAGACAGCAGCAGATGTAAAGTTTCTCAACTAGCGCCTCAGACTCCTGCAGTCTCCTCTTTCTCCTGCAGGTTTGTGATTCCCTGATTTCTGGTTTCTGACTTGAGGATTTCTCAGGGCAAATAGTGATTCCACGGTGATAAACTCACTCATGATTAAGTGTCATCCTGCTACCCTCTAGAAAGGCCATTTGTGTTTTTAACTGAATAGACTCATAAAATACTAAAGGCAGTCAGATATTTTGACATTTGTAAGTTTTGTCTTCAAAATATAGAGTCAGAATGTTGGTTGAGTCAGACTGTTTGCCTCTCGCCACTGCTGGAACATTTTTGGGTGACATGCAAGTATTGTTTAGTAGGAAAGGCATACTCAACAGAGAGCGCTCCTCACACACCACCTGGCTCTCTGCATTTGGCTCTTATGAAATGCAAAAGAGGAGAGCAAAGTGATGCAGTGAGATTTGCCTCCGTTTATTTTCCAGGAAAAAGAATGCTCTACTTCAATTAACCTGACTTGGTGATGCATTTCCTCACCGATGAGAGTTTTGGTGTGTACACACACACACGCGCGCGCACACTCACATGCACACGTGCATACTTCAGTGCTCCCTGTAGGAACGCTGCTAGTGATCACCCTTAATGCCTTCTCCGCGACATGACATCATAAGCCTGTCCATTTCCAATGCCACACAGATATGTTTGGACCCTCCCTCTTGTTATGTCACTATGCCCCTGGCCTCCTTTGAGTTGGTACTCTATTTAGGACAAAGTCAAATTTATTTTTTATTTTTTTATTAACATATACTGTATTATTTGTTTCAGGGGTACAGGTCTGTGATTCATCAGTCTTACACAATTCACAGCGCTCCCCACAGCACATACCCTCCCCAGCATCCATCACTCAGCCCCCTCATCCCTCCCACCCCCCTCCGCTCCAGCAACCCTCAGTTTGTTTCCTGAGATTAAGAGTCTCTTACGGTTTGTCTCCCTCTCAGGACAAGGTCAAATTTTATATTAGTCTGTTTGTGATGGAAGAACATGATAGTAGTCCAGGCCTTGCTAGTTTTAAGTCTATAAACTGCAGCTCTGGCTGCAAGGGTCCAATCTAGGAAGATACGTTGCCATGCGGCTGGATTGTTTTCCTGACTTGACCTTTCTTCTTGGATGTGCTCTCACATTGGGAGCTTCTGGCAGATTCCAGCTGGGTTTTCAGGACCGCACCTCAGTCAGCAGTAGGAGTCTTTTAAGAGCCTTGCTGACCCAGGCTTGTTTAGAATTCACTTTTGAGCGGGAAGGGGAGGGTGGATTAAGCAAAATCCCAGAAATCCCTGGATAATTGCTCTTTGGCATAGCAGCACGAGATGTTTCCCACCATCAGATCCATCCTTTGTTTTAGTCAGTTGTGCTCAAATTGTCTTTAAAATGACATTGTGTTCCTTGATCACGCAGTGCCTAACTCTGGGGCTTGGGACTGGGCTAAGTGCATCCAGTAGTGGGATAGGAGGAGACAGCTGGTGCCTCACATTTTCCCACAGAGAACCCACAAAGTGATAAACACATGGGATAGTCCTCTGCGGACTATTTCAGCATCGGACACAAAGTAACTCCCCCTCCGCCGGTGATTGGGCTGCCCTGAGGCCCCTTTTTCCTTTGGTGTATCAGTTCTCAAGCTCCTTGTTATGAATGATCCGGGCCCCTGACCGCCTCATCTTCTCTTTTCTGTTCATCTTTTGACTGCTTCCCTTGCTCTCTGACAAAAGGTGTCCACAGATGGCGTGGGCCAGGAAATGTAAGTCAAGCTAGATTTGCTGTTTGGTAGCAGCTCTGGGTGTGTGTGTGTGTGTGTGTGTGTGTGTGTGTGTGTGTGTGTGTGTGTATTTGAAGTCAGAATGAGAGAGTAGATGAGAATTCGTGGCTGAAATGAGAATCTGTGATGTTCCAGGGGTTTCATTTGTTTCTAATCTCTTACTTTTGTGTGTGTGTTTTAAATTTAAATTCAATTAATTAACATACAACGTATTACTAGTTTCAGAGGTAGAGGTCAGTGATTCATCAGTCTTACATAACACCCAGTGCTCATTACATCACGTGCCCCCCCTAATGTCCATCCCCCAGTTACCCCATCCTCCCACCGCCGCCCCTCCAGCAGCCCTCAGTTTGTTTCCTATGATTAAGAGTCTCCTAAGGTTTGTGTCCCTCTCTGGTTTGGTCTTGTTTTATTTTTTCCTCTCTTCCCCTGTGATCCTCTGTTTTGTTTCTTAAATTCCACATATGAGTGAGATCATATGATAATTGTCTTTCTCTGATTGACTTATTTCGCTTCTTTTCTGTTATTGTGGATAATTGGTAGTGGCTGCAGGATATTTTTCTCTGTCCTATTCTCCCCTTTGAGCTAGGAGGCTTTGGCACATGGGTAGAGAAGAATTAGATGGTAAGGCTCAGAGTTTTCTCTCTGCATTGTTCCCTAAGAGGTGAGGATGAGTCATCCCTCTTGTTTTGTCTCTTACCCCACCAAATAATCTCACACTAAAGGAGTAAATTCATTTTTAAAGACCCACGTATTTACTTCTACATAGTAAACTTGAGCCAGATTCAGATCACAAAAGGAATGTAACACTTCAGAGGAGATTTTTAAAGGCCAAAGATTGAGAATGTGCAGGGATGAGGGCTCTGGCAAGCTGTTGCAACTGCAGACCCTTCTCCGTATGTCTTACTGTGCGATATTTGCAAGGTACTCTTAGGAAAGAATCCGGGCAGTGGATAGAAGCCACAGGTGCCATCGGCCCCTCCATCCTAGCATTTTATCTATCTGCCTTTAGGATGATGGAAAGGGGATGATTTAGTGGCTGCTCCTTGAAGAAGCCACCCTAGAGTTTTCGTTATTTCTACACTGACAGGGAAAGATCGAGGCGCAGGACTTGAGGATGCTTAGGCAGTGTCCACACTGACTGTCCATCTTGGTCCCCAGTGTCCTTTATTCCCTTTTGCACGTTGGGGTACGGCACCAGCTCCTCTAAGAGAATCTGTGACTCTGCAGGTTAGGGCCAGCCTGGCCTCACAGCCTCCCCACTGAGGTCAGGACCCCTGATAGCCATCCTCTGTAGCTTCTACTCAAAGCGTCTTGGCAATGCTTTCCTAGGGGAGGGGCCTCTAGGTCTGTCTTTTCTCCTATCCCTGGACTTACTTATCCTTGGAGGAACTGGAATTTCATCTCATCCCAGAATCCTCTTTTCTGGCTGAGGGAGGATACAGGGCTGTGTGGGCTAAAGCAACCCAGTGGGGGCTTGCCCCTGTTGAAACCAGCAGCCGTTGTGATGGTCAAGGAAGGGGGATGTGGTTGTCCTTACTGAGAATGGAGAAAGGATCCAGTGAGTACTTTTTAGCCGACTGCTGGATTGCACATTGTGTGCCGTCCTGGTAGAGGTGTGATGGAGAATTTTACACTATGTGTCCATTTCCCCGTCCAACACCCATTCATCTTCCCATGCCTTCCACTCGGGTCGTGGAAAGCCAGCTCCTTTGACAGCCAGATTCTTGGAAAGGTTTCAGGGCTAGCCCAGAGAGCGGGAGGCTAGCCTGAGCCTGGGGAAATGCCCAGAGGTCGAGGGATCTTTCTTTTCACCCCTTGTGCTAGATCAGCTTATGGACCAGGACCCTGAGCTCCCTGCCATGCAGGATCATCTGTCCTGCCACCTCCTTCTTATCATTTGTCTCAGAGTATGCGTTGTGGTGGTGGTATGGTGATGGTAGTGGAGGGGTGGGTTGGATGAGGGTGGGTTGCAGAGCCCTTGCTGATGTTTGCATGCATAGCTATGTTTTACCTCATTGAAAAATATACTTTCTGTTCTTGAAAAGCTCTGTAGAATTCAACTCCAGCTTTGTTTTGAGCTGAAAGAGAGCCTAACTCTGAAAGAGACCTTAAAAAAATCCAAGTTCAGTACTAGGGCTCTTTGGGATTCTTGTTATTTGGGGAACCTGTCACCGATGGTCCTTCCCCCATCCCAGAGCAGACTAAAATATGCCCATGCTTTCCCCCCACCTATCCAGGGGTTAGATTCATTTCTTATTCCCCTGGCTTTGGAGATTATAATGCATGGGATGGCCATTTAACTAGCTTGTCCTTGCCACCCCTGGAACCAGCTCAGTCTCTACTAGATCAGACTGTGTGGGGGTTGGGAGCAGCCCGAGCCCAGTCACAAAGTCAGAGAAATATCTTGACTGCCTGGTGTTATCTGACAGGAAAGCTTTGGGCCAGAGTGGAAAGTTCTGGACTCTTTGTAATTGTCTAGGCACCTGTGCCTCAGTTTCCCCATTTGTAAAACAGTACTGAAACCTGCCCTACCTATGTCACAAAGCTATGATTAGGACAAAGTGAAAGTGCAGGGAAAAGTAAATGGCTACACAAATTTGAGTGTGTCTAGATGCTTTTCTGAGCAGCAAGTCTGGGTTGGGAGGAATGCAGAGTGACTCACGGGAGCCCAGGAGGACAATGGGTGTGTGAGCTTCCGACAGTGTAACTGGTGGTGTGAATGTCCATGACGTTCAGGACGGGGTTGAAACTGTCTTTTCTCTCCTCTGCATGCTCCAGGCTGGGGGAAGTTTGCTCGGCTGACCAGAGCTCTGACGAGCAGCAGGGGTGTCCTGCAGCAACTGGCTCCCAGCGTGCAAAAAGGCGAGAATGTCCACAAGCACTCCCGGCTGGCCGAGGTAAGGGCGGGGGGGCTAGCTCTGCTCAGACCGCACTTCCCTGGGGTCCGTGGGCTAAGAAGTTGGCACAAAGCAAGTGTGTGGTTTGGAAGGGACCTTCGGGACTCCCAGACTCAGGTCTTGGCTGGGCTACACACCATGATGTGTGATTTGGGGAAAGTGACCTAACTCCTTTGGGCGTTGGACTTTCCCGTCTGTAAGAGGAGACTGCGAATAGCTCTGTTCGAGCTTATCGAGGTTACAGGTGTCAATTCACTGTCTTGAGGGAGTAGAGAAGGAGCTAGAAGTGCTGTTTACGTGAAGGGGTTTTTACTTATAATTTCGTTATTTGAGCAATGCATATTATTAGAGGAAAAAAAGATAATAAATAGGAAACAAACAAAAATCACCTGTAATCCCACTAACCAGATGGCTTGTTATAATTTTTGTATGCATTCTTTAACTCTTTTTGTTAAGTATATGCTATTTCCTAAAGCCTAATAAATACATTTTTTCATAGTTAATATTTGTGAAGTTCAAATGTACCTAAGAATCAACGTGTACATTTAATGTGGTTGTGTTACCTTTTCTTCACTTTATATAATCATGAACGTCTTTCCAGGTTAATAAATGTACTTGAATTTATTGCTGTTCTGGGTAACCCTTGCTGTAAGGAGAACCTGTGGCGATGGTATTCTCCCTGCTGCTGGGACAAATGAGAGGCTGGGAAGCCTGGACAAGGTGGTTCCCTAGGCTTAATGCACCGCAGTTACTCTTACCGTTTTTGGTCTTTCTGCATCCAAATCCCGTATTATCTGCCTTCGATGGTGCCTGGCCTTCATTTTGTCAATTCAGCCTGGGTGGACCAGTGAAGAGCGTTACCCCTAGCACACGGCAAACTTCCGTCTTACCCAGATTTGACAACGTAAGCTGTCTGTCTGCCATATGATGGCCGCTCAGTTCTTGACTCTTGCTCAGATGACAGGGTCCTTTCTGGCCTGACTCGTGGCTCCCACCCAGACTCCTAAGTGAGGAACAGCCAGCATGGGACAGCTCACATTCGGTGCCCTGAATGTCAGATGAGCTCACTACAGATAATCTCCTCTCGGCATCCAAAGCTTCTGCCAACAGTGGGGATGGGAGCATTCACCTGTGTCACGTTAGAGAAGGAAAGGCACTTGGAAGCATAGCTTTTGGTCCTGATGTGGGCTCAGTATATCATAGAAAGAAAACTAAAGGAGACCTTTTGGTACATAGCCTGTGCTTTCCCTGCCCCTACTGCCGCTTTTGGTTAATAAGGCATCCACCTTTCATGCTGCTCTCTGCCTTGCTGACTCTTACTCAAGCCACATTCCTGGTGCAGGCTCCTCGTGCACACCAGGCTCACTCTTGTCTGAGATGTCTTGTGTGGCAGCTCCTTCACCAGCCTCAAGTCTTTGCTCAAATGTCATTTTCTATTTCCAATTTCATTAATTTCTACTCCAATTTTATTCTTTCTTTTCTCCTACTTTGGATTTAATTTGCTTTTTTTTTTTTTTTTTTAGTTTCCTAAGGTGGAAACTTAGATTATTGCTTTTTGATCTTTTTTCTTTTCTCATATATGCATTCAATGCTATAAATCTTCCTCTAAGCCCTGCTTTAGCTGCATCCCACAAATGTGCTTAAGTTCTGTGTTCATTTTCATTTAATTTAAAATATTTTTAAATTTCTCTTGAGATTTCTTCTTTGATCCCCTGTGTTATTTAGAAGTGCATCGTTTAATCTCTGAGTATTTTGGGATTTTAGAACTATCTGTTATTGATTTCTAGTTTTAATTCCACTGTGGTCTGAGAGCAGACGTTGTATGACTTCTGTTCTTTTAAGTTTGTTAAGGTATGTTTCATGGTCCAGATTGTGGTCTATCTTGCTGAATGTTGCAGGTGAGCTTGGGAAGAATGTGGATTCTGCTGTGGTTGGATGAAGTAGTCTATAGATTGTCAGTCATATCCAGTTGATTGATGCTGGTGTTGAGTTCAACTATGTCCTCAGTGATTTTCTGCCAGTTGATTGATGGTGGTGTTGAGTTCATCTGTGTCCTCAGTGATTTTCTGCCTGCTGGTTCTGTACATTTCTCATAGAGGATTGTTGAAGTCACCAACTTGATAGTGGATTCATCTGTTTCTCCTTGCAGTTCTCTCTGTTCTTGCCCCACATAATTTTGCTCTGTTGTTAGGAACATACAGATTAAGGGTTGTTACATCTTCTTGAAAAATTGACCCCTTTATCATCATGTCATGCCCTTCTTTATCCATGCTGCCTTTTCTTGCCCTAAGGTCTGGTCTATCAGAAATTAATATAGCTACTTCTGCTTTCTTTCTTTCTTTTTTTTTTTTTTTTAAAGATTTTATTTATTTATTTGACAGAGACACAGCGAGAGAGGGAACACAAACAGGGGGAGTGGGAGAGGGAGAAGCAGACTCCCTGCTGAGCGGGGAGCCCGATGCGGGGCTTGATCCCAGGACCCTGGGATCATGACCTGAGCCGAAGGCAGATGCCTAATGCCTGAGCCACCCGGGCGCCCCATACTTCTGCTTTCTTTTGAGTGTTAGCATGGTAAATCTTTCTTCATTCTTTTATTTTAATCTATCTGTGCCTTTATATTTAAAGTAGGATTCTTGTAGACAGCATACAATTGGATCTTATTTTTTGATCCATTTTGACAATCTCTGTCTTAACCGGCATATAGAGACTACTGATGTTTAAAATGATTATTGATATAGTTGGATTAATATCTGCCATATTTGTTACTGTTTTCTGTTTTTTTGCTCTTGGTCCTTGTTCCTGTCTTCCTATCTTGTTGTCCACTTTTTCTGCTTTTAGTGGTTTTAATTGAATGTTTTATATGATTCTATTTTCTTTCCTTTCTTAGCATTATCAATTACTTTTTTTAGTGGTTGCCCTAGAGTTTGCAATATATATTTACAACTAATCTGAGTCTGCTTTGAAATAACACTGTGGCTCGGTGGGTTGGGTGACTGCCTTCGGCTCAGGTCATGATCCTGGAGTCCCGGGATCGAGTCCCGCATCGGGCTCCCTGCTCGGCGGGGGGTCTGCTTCTCCCTCTGACCTCCCCCCCCTCAGTACTCTCTCTCATTCTCTCTCTCAAATAAATAAATAAAATCTTAAAAAAAAAAAAGAAATAACACTGTACTGCTTCATGGGTAGTGCAACTACCTTAAATAATAACAAAATAATCCTAATTCTTGATTCCTTCCTTCTGTTCCTTGTATCATTGCTATCGTTATCCATATGCATAGGTAAGTATATATATATACATACACACACACACATACATACAGAATTAAATACATTGTTTCTATTTTATTTTGAACAAAGTGTTTCCTGTTATATCATTTAAGAATATAAAAAATAAAAGTTTTTATTTATCTTCACTTTTTCCTTCTCTGATGCTCTTTCTTTATGTAGATCTGAGTTTCTGACCTATATTATCTTCCTTCTCTCTGAACAACTTCTTTTAACATTTCTCGCAAGGCAGTTCCACTGGCAACAAATTCCCTTAATTTTTGTCAGAAAAAGTCATTATTTCTCCTTCACTTTTTTTTTAAGATTTTATTTATTTATTTGAGAGAGAACGAGAGAGAAAGCACAAGTTGGGGGAGGGGCAGAGGGAGAGGAAGAAGCAGACTCTTTGCTGAGCACGGATCCCAATGTGGGGCTCCATCCCAGGACCCTGGGATCATGACCTGAGCCAAAGGCAGATGCTTAATCGACTGAGCCACCCATGCACCCCTCCACTTTTGAAAGAATTTCACGGGGTACAGAATTCTAGGCTGGTGTTCTTTTTTTCTTCTCTCAACTCTTTAAGTCTGCTCTCTTTTGTTTATGTTTCTGAGGAGAAGTTAGATGTAATTCTTATACTGGCTCCTTATAAGTTAGGTGTTTTTTTTCCTCTGGCTTCTTTCAGATCTTTTCTTGAACTTTGATTTCCTGCCATTTGGATATGATATGCCTAGGTGTGTTTTGTTGCTTGTTTGTTTTGTGGTCCTGTATCCTGCTTGGTGTTCTATGAGCTTCCTGGACCTGGAATTTGGTGTGTGACATGAATTTGGGGGAAATTCCCAGTCATTATTACTTCAAATATTTTTTTGTTTCTCTCTTTCTTTCCCTTCTGGTGTTCTCATTACACATCTATTACACCTTCTGCAGTTGTCCCACAGTCCCTGGATATTCTGTTTTATTTATTTATTTTGTTGGTCCTTTTATTACAGGATTTCTATTCCTTTAGCACCTGCGGTTCTTGGTCATGCCACTTTTAAGAATGAAGAGATAGAACAGACGAAGAGTGGTGGGCAGCAAGGCAAAGTTTATTGAGCAAGAGTACAAAGCTCTTGAAGAGGGTGGGGACCCGAGAGGGTTGCTGTTGGGAGTTTCTAAGTTTAGGGTTTTTTATGAGCTCTTTTGCAGAGTGATCTTAAGCAACCAGGGCGTGCTGAGTCGTGCCGATCAGGACTTTGATCACATATTTTTCTACCTATTAGGTTCATGTCTACGTGCTGATAGTCTTTTTGGGCTGACATCTGGGGGCTTTTGTCTTAACTGCCCCTTGCTCGTGATAGTGACAAATGCTTTGTGGCTAATTGTTTTATTTTAGGACATTTTGTAGAAGTCATTTCTGCAAAGGTTGCAAAACAGAATGCCAGTGTGGTCCTGTCGAAGCTGCATACAGGATGGTAGTGCTGTTCTATCTTAGCTGTCCTGACTCCATATTTTCTTGTTGGTGACTCTGGCCCTGACTACCCAACTGTCCAACTAATTCCTAACACTATTTGTCTTTGCTTTTCAGTTTTGGAGGCTTCTATTAACATATCCTCAAGCTCAGAGATTCTTTCCTCAGCTGTGTTCAGTCTGCTAATGAGCTCATCAAAGGCATTCTTCATATCTGTTATAGTGTTTTTGATCTCTAGTATTTCCTTTTGGTTCTTTCTTAGAATTTCCATCACTTTGCTTAGATAACCCATCTG